TCTTTTGCCTTTTTTCTATGGTTTTGCTAGATAAAAAGAGGGACAACTTTTTTTATGAGCTATGTGCCTTGCTAGAAATCTCTACATATGAATATTTTCATAAGACAATCTAACTGTCAAATAGGCGGATAGAGTTTAAATGTAGTAAACGAGACATATAAAGTATTCAGTATGTATTGGATGACATCTTTGACATGGTGGTTGTCAGCTGAGTAGTTTAGTTAGCATGTTGAGCTGGTATATTAGTAACTTTCTGCCTTGCTAATGGAGTGGCCCTACAAAGCTTTGGTTTATATTTATATTGAACCATGCACCAAGGGCGTGATTGGTTGCTCCGAGCTCGGTCATCCAGGATGAAGGCCCCATCTAGGCTCTTCCTAGCCCAGCTGACACCGTTCACCCTCCTGTGTTTGGTTGCACTTGAGGCTTGCGTACTGGATGACTTCCTTCTCGTTTGGTTGCCAACATGGAGCGTTAAGTGGTATGAAGTTGTGCCCCTGCTCTGTTTGGTTTGCCACACGGCAACAGGTCTGGGCACCAAGGTATGGTTTTGGTGAGGTTACCACACTTCTTAGGAAAACAAGCAAGACAGAGGATTTGTTTGCCTCAGTTCATTGTGCCTTTTCATCGACAATGACCTTGGAGCATCTAATGACAAATTTGAACCATACAACAGTCTGGCATATAATAGTTAACAACATTAGGGTCACAGTACCTCACAAGGTCATTGTCATTACAAGTTTGCACGACACATTTTGAGCATCACAGGCAGTTGTAGCAATGAGCAAGAATGAACCACAGGAGCACCAGTAAGAAAAAAGACTGCACCATAGTCACAACAAATAACACCGGTGTGTTCCTGACCACCTTTGGTGTAGGCTTGACAAAAACTTTGTCATCTTCACAACCCATGAACTCCAAGTATGATGCTTCTGCCTCTTCTTTGGTAGGGAAGCTCTTGTAGCTGTTGGTTTTAAAACCAGTTACCTGGGCATTGCATCTAGCCCAGGTTGCATATACCCCAGGAACCTTGCCGCAATACACAACATACCAAGACATGTGCCCCTTAAAAAACACATAAAAGCAAGTATAAGATGTTGATAAGATGAGGGTTAGTTCAATCAATTTGTCTTAGATTTAATTGCTTTTTCATTTGACCTTGAACTTGGAGCTTAAGAAACATAGACAGCAACAAACCTCAAACAGATAGTAGAAAACCAAGATCATGGCATGTATGAAACCATGAGAGACGTCCAGCCCAGCCATCAGATCATCACAACCGCCCAGCTGCTGCTTGGGCATGGATGTCTCTCATGGTTTGATGACAGCCATGAGAAGCATAAGTAGAAGATAGAAGAAACAATGCTCCAGTATCTCACAGGTCCAAGGTCATCACTGTGCATAATCCATACTCAAACTAGCACTGTTATCTTCATAGGCATGAAAATGATCTCACAATTGTATCAGCCTCAGTCTAAAAAATGGTTGACATCATAGGCACAAAAAAATGCAGGCCTCACCTAACTGCAAACTAATTTATGATCATCTTGCAAGCTAACTGCAATCATCCCAAGTGGCAAATAAGAACACAAATTGCTGAGGCAAGTTCATGGCTACCATGGAAGCATGCGACACATCCATCCTAGCCATCCAGTAGGCATGCCTACAACAGTTGCTTGGGAATGGACGTATCGCACGGTTTGATGACAGACATGAGAAAACACAAGAAGACAATAAAGCAGCAACATGAAGAATACCCATAGCCACCTTATATTGCTATAGTTTGCACCCGGTGTTAATGTCTACACCACACAGATCAACACAGCCTCACATCTATCACCATGGCTCCTATGCTATACAAAACTAGGTGCAGCCTTGGTCAGGTGGCAAATGGTTCTTTGTAGCACCAGATGAGGTCAGTGCTACACATCAAAATACTTCCTACAGCATAAGACAGTTAGCATGGCTATATGCAAAAGTGGAGAGGCCAACTCATATGCATCTAACCAAAGTAGGTTGTGCTCAGGTAGGTCCTAAGCCATAGGATCCTATGAGCCTCTGTTATCTGAACAAAGCAAAGTCCCTCAGCCTTGTTCTTCAGCAGGTAAACCAGGGTAAACATGAGTGCCTCCTGTGAGTACCTAGAGCAGGCCATAACATAGCCATAAAGGTCCTGATGCACCTTATTGTGTTGTGGAGTCTTGAGGGCATCTCCTACAGACTCCACAGCCTTGATCATTCCATTCATGAGGTCTATTTCCTCTTGGGCAAGCTTCCTTCTCTTGGCACCCCTTTCCTCCTGGCCCTTGGCATCAGAACCCTTAGAGCCTTCCATATCAAAAGGAGTTCCCTTTCTAGAATCATCATCTGTGCCACCTAAGTCAGTTATGTCCTCAACGCCATCAATATCACCTTGGCCAATGTCAGTTGGAGTACCCAGAGGCTCATTTGAGCCCATTGCATACCTGCCTGTGGTTTGGTTACCACCAAAGATGGCCTCCATCTGAACATAGTTCTCTATTGGTGTGTTCAAGAACCTAGCATCAGCAGGATGGTCCTAGTTAGTAAAACAGATATAACTATTAGATATAGGGGAGCAAAAGAAAAGGGATAGCTGAGGTGTTATCCAAACAGTTTCTAACCTTGGTGTGGCCAAGCAGGTGTTCATCATCAAGTACTATCATATGGTGGTCCTCATCCCACAGAGCACCACTCAAATCCTTGAGCCTAACAATCTTAACCCGCCTTTGCCTCCACTTTCTCAGGTGATTGTAAATCTACTGGGTGCTCACATTGACCCCAGCAAACTCAGAGACCATGAGTGCAACCTGCCTAACATGCACCTCCTTAAACCCTTTGTCAATTTTGACCCCCTGCCCCACCAAATCATGGAACCTCCTTAGCATGAACCCATACTAGACAGGAGTCCAGTGCATAGGGCCATTGGGCTGAGGGGCTGCTGGATTGCCATCATCAGCAGCAACCACCCCATCCTGTTCCACCACATTGTCCTCACCACCAATGTTAACAACCTGGTCAAGCATATTGTCCATTTCCTATCCACAACCAGCATAACATTGAATAAACCAGTACGTAAGGAAAACAAATTGCATGATATGAAATACAAGTTCAATAGATCAAATAGGCAGAAAAGGAATAGTACTACATCATTGCAAGGTGCCATAGGTCTTAGTTAAAATACAAGTTCCATCAATGCTACTAAATAGTACACACACCATGCCACTACACCCTAGAATTCCCCCAATTTTGTCACATCTGTGCATCCCATGCCTCCCTCTATTGTGCCCAGGTACCATTGTCAGGGACATGATCTGTTTGTGAGGCATTGTCATTGATGTTAGGAGTCCATGTGGATTCAGCAGGTACATGCTCGTCCTGCCCATGCCTGAGGATCCAATTGTGAAGAATACAACATGCAAGAACAAGCTTAACTTGGGTCTTGTATGGGTGGAAAGGCTTGTTGTCCAATATCCTGAATCTATTCTTTAGAGCCCCAAAAGCTCTCTCAACTGTTACTTTAAGAGACGAATGCCTTAGATTAAAAAGCTCTCTTTGATAAGTTATGGATACCAACCTTGAAATAGGGGTACCATCTTTTGCTCCCAAGGATCCTAGGATGGACATTGGTAGCAGGAGGGACAATCAAGTCATTCCTCAGCCCTCCTACCGCATATAACATCTTCTGGAAGAACCTACTAGTTGTCTCTGCGGACCTCCTGAAGGTGAGGTCAACCACCATAAACCTCTCATTGTGACCAACAACATGCAAGAACATGGTTACTTGTTCTTCAACAGATGCATGTATGTTGTTAGTGACAAGCTCTCTACTACGGAAAAGGTCACAAAGTTAGAAAAAGGGGCCCTCTTCAATCTAATAAGGTTGACATAGTGCACATCATCAGATTCATAGATGTATCTAAGGTTGTTCATCCTCTGTTTGTCCCTCTCGGCCATGGGACCATAGGTGACTGAGCGCGAATCTTCAACTCTCCTCCTAAACCACATGAAAAAACAAGCAGCCACTGCAACAACCACAGCAGCGGTAGCCCTGCGCCTAGCTTCAAAGGCCATGTCTACCAACAAGATGGAGGGCAACATTAGAAAGGGAGCATGCAACATGGGTGTGTACTGCTTAGTAAGCAAAAAATCAGACAAAATGAACTATGAAAGACGCGGCTGCCACACCAAAGGGTGCTCCTCCAGCATATACTATTACACAATCAACATCACTTACCTCTAGGCACTTTGCTCAGTGTGTACAACAAAATAGGCATCAGCATGTACAAGATCTACACAAAACATGAGGTATACACCAAATACGAAGCATCATGTACAGATCTGAGCTAGGAACAGGTAAATCAGGTATAGCATCGCATAGATATGAGGATGTCAAACCAAGAACCTTAATTTCTTAGCATTGCAAGCAAAATCCACAGACAAATCAACAAAATCGACACTGAAGAAGGAGGAGGGGAAGAGCGCAGGTGGCATATACCGTCGAAGCGCCGGAGGACCGAGAGAAATCCGCCGGCGGTGGTCGCCTCGGTAGGGCTACCTAGGTCGAGGGGGAGTTAGAGGGGAGTTCGCACTAGAGCTATGGCGGAAGGAGAGGCGAAGAGTGAGGGCGGTAACCCTAGCCGCGACCCGCGCGCGCGCTTTATCGCCAGGACGGCCTCATCTCCCGCACTCTCCAAAAAGGTTCCCGCCAAGCACCGCGCGAGCCTGCACCAAGAGGGAAGCGGGGATCGAGAAGACGGCGCCGTCCGGGATGGAGGAGGGCATCTGCACGAGAGGAAGCAGGAGAAAAATGCGAGTAGGGCAACCAAACACGGGTGAAATGCATCAAAGAGTGCGGGATGGGCCATATGAAGGCCCGGTTCGGACAACCAATCACGCCCCAAATCTTCTCTTTTTATACCAACCCTCCTTCACTTGCACTGACTCCCCAAACACATCAGAGGGATTCACGCCCAAAAGCCATGTTCCATCCTTCATCCTCGTCGCCACCCAACTACAGTGACCTCTCCATGCACCATGCAGTGGGCTTCTCCTCTGCTGTGCCCACAGCTCCGACTGAAATTCCTCGAGGGGGTTTCTTCCACGGCAACGGTGGCTTGCTAGCACTTCCCAATGTTGCTGCTTCAGCGCCGCCTCCCTACCCATCTTCCCTGCCTTCCTACTACATACATAGCAACATCAACTCGCATTTCCTCCCTATTCAAGTCCAGTTGTCTGAACAGCTCAGCAGTAATGCCACCTTTTCTTGCTCGTCTCCTTCGGCTTCGGCATGCCAGTTGCCTCTTCCCCATGTTCCTTCTTCCCCTTCCTCATCTTCCGGTGACCTTTTGGAGTTCAGAACTGGAGCCATGCGGCGTGTCTTCAGTACTGGTGACCTCCAGGTAATCCAACAGACCACAAGCTGGTCTTATATCTGGTCATAAACAAGTTTTAATCATTTCTCACCCATGTTATACAAAGCAGGTGATGAATGTCGCGGCGTCTCCACCACCGCCACCACTTTCAGGTGACCCACACGGCCAAGATGCAGGGGTGCCTTTCACTCAGAAGGTTGGCCGTTACAGCGCTGAAGAACGCAAGGAGAAGATTGAGCGTTACCGTACGAAGCGTAACCAGAGGAACTTCCACAAAAAGATCACTGTAATGATTTCCCGCACCACGCAATCTGCAAATGCAATTTCAATGTTTGCATGTCCTCTAATGCATCTGTTGCTCCGGACCTCTTCAGTATGCCTGCAGGAAGACGCTGGCGGACAGCAGGCCCAGGGTGCAGGGCCGCTTCGCGAGGAATGCCGAGACAGAGGCCGAGGCTGTTGCAGGCCACGAGAGGGAGGCCTCAGACAACAACAGCTACGAGCACTGTCACTACAGCGACCTCACCACCACCACCACCACCACCAGCAGCAGCAGCTGCTGCTACGACACCCAGTGCAGGGAAAGTGGCAAAACCACAACATTTGACGACGGCAAGTGGTGGTGGGAAGCACCGGTGGCCGCGCCAGCTGCAGCCAATGGGCATCATGGGCACCATCAGTACCAGCAGCAGCTTCTTGATTTTGACATCGACATGGACATGGACGGAGATGATCTGTGGGCCAGACTGGCTGACATGTGCTCTGGGACCTGATCGACCTGGGCCACACGAGGGTCGTCTCCTGATTGGCGCTGTCTAGTGCGAGGAAGGCAGGGAGCACCAAGCGGCGGCTGCCGGTGCCCGTTGCCGAGGCAGTGCGGTGGTCAGAGTGGCGCTGCTGACCTTCTTGTGCCGTAGTGCATCCTAGTAATATTTATTAGGAGTAGTAAAAAAAAAAGACACAGAGATGGAAACCCCCGTCTCATCTCATGTAAGAACAGATTGTTCCCTGGTGTTCCGTGTTACCCTATTCTGCAATGCAATCTTCCACAAAGTTTGGCCATGCTGCTGTTGCTTTTTCTACATGCCTGAATCGTTAAGCCTGAGTGCTGCAGCTTTAGGACCATATTTTTTATTTAGTGTTGAGCTGTTTTGATTTGTCTTGCTTGCGATTTGCAGTTGATAGTGCTGGTGCATATGTTTGGCTGCTGTTAGTGGCATGCCTTGGTTTAACATTTTTTGTCCCTGGCATGACAAGCTGACAACGAGCTGATCTATGAGACCACTGAACCTACGCTGTGTGCCTCCGACTCCGAAGGTTCCCAAGTGTGGATGGTGATTGTCACTGTCACTGATAGGTGTAACAGTTTGAGGTGTGGCATGCTATCAGAAGTGTGGCACTATATGATGCAGAAGCGAGCTTGATACATACTGTAGTTCCGAGGGTTAAGAAAGACATTATTGTGACAATAAACGAAACACATGTATAAGAAAGAAAGTGTGCAGGCAAAGGTTGGGCATTACATAGGCAAGCTACAGACCCCATACGTGTATGTCTTGAAACTGTACTTATATACTCACCAAGACTAAAGGCTATTCTGATTGTATAATTTTTTATCAGGGCTTTTGGAAGATATGGTTTGTGCTACACGGTTACTTACCTCATAAGAATTGTGCAGGGATAGTGTAAAATAACCAACATATGATACTGCAAAAATTCTGCATTTTGGGAGAAACGATTCGTAGCTCACCTGCTCAATTGTGTCGATTTTTTTTTCGAATACGCAAAAGATTTGTATATCATTGTACTAAGAAGAAGAGTCTCAATTGTGTCGATTCACGGACGTGCCTCCTCTGATGAGTACAGGCCCGATCTTCCGAGAGGTAGCCGGTAAGTTCGATATGTGGAGATCTCGACGTTGGCGATCCGGCTTCAAATCAGACGCGATTCGAACCCTGCAACCGTTACACCACTGCTCCGTTGGTTATCAACCAAGCACAACTTGATTGACCTCGCCAAGAAGGCTTTTCCTGCAAGCGAATCGAAGAGCACAAGCAAGAAGGTAAAACACGCAATCTGATATTGCAAATATGAATGACGCGAATATCAATAGAGGGTTCAAGAACTCGGTTCCAAAGGACTAATCGACACAGTGGAGGAGATCAAGAACGGGGGCCCTGGATCACTGTAAAAGGATTTGTCACCACAGTTACAATGAACGATTCAGTTTCTCGATGGAAAACTAAACTCTAAACAAAACCCAATTGTGTAGCAGCGGCGACGGCTGTGTTTATAGTCTAAGACTCGACCTAGGGTTGGGGACGGCCAGGGGTTGGGCGCCCACAACTTGGGCTTAAGGCCCGACACGATACATGGCCAAGTTGGCCCAAATAGGTGACGCAGCACCTTGCCGTGGTCACACAGAATGATCCACGGACCTTCTGGAGCTGGGACCAGATCCAAAACGACGGCGTCGTCGTCCCCTTTCCAACGCATCCAAGAACGGCCCGTTTCGATGTCGTATGAGAAAGTTATGACCGAAACAGTGACGACGTGTCTGCTGAATCCGAGGGCGACGTGGCAGCTGAGTTGGGAACGAATTGCAACTTGGGGAAGACCATGGCGTCGGTGTGTCCAGCGTGGCGATGTCCTCATCATCCTCCCCTTCTCGAATTGGAGTCGTCCTCGACTCCATCTTGGCGATGTCCTCATCATCCCCTCCTTGTAGAATTGGAGTCGTCCTCGACTCCATCCCATCATCAGCGAACTCCTGCAAAAGATTAGTGACAGCAGGCAATGCACCAGACATAAAAGGTTGACAAAACATAGTATAACATGGTGCATCAGGATTATGACATAACTCAGCAGTAGCAGGAGTTGTAGCAAGAAAAGCACCTCCTTTTAACTTAATCCCATTATTTTTAGCAATGTCTGTTGGAGGTTTATTTTTGATCTCATTAGCATGTTTAATAATATCCGTAGGAGACAAAGGCAGCAATGTAATTTTCTTGTCCTTATGTATGATAGTGTATGTATTAGTTCTACCATGGTGTAAAGCATCATTATCAAATTCCCATGGTCGACCTAACAAAATGGAACAAGCTTGCATAGGGACAACATCAAAATCAGCAGTATCATGATAAGAGCCTGTGAAAAAGCTAATGCGTGCTGATTTAGTTACCTTAGTCTTACCACTATTATTGAACCATTGAAGTTTATATGGATACGAATGTTGTCGTGTGGTCAAGCCAAGCTTGTCAACCAAATCTGAACTCACCAAGTTGTTGCAACTCCCGCCATCAATGATAGTGAGAACACGACAACCCTGCACAATGAGATACATGTGGAACAAATTGTGGCGTTGGATCTTCATCTCTTCTTCATGTCCCACACGTGTACTCAACACACGCTGCACGAGAAGGCTAGGATAGTCATGGCAGCAGCTACAGAGAGTCAATGATGATGGCCTCCTTGTCTTGATCGCCCTCGGTGGGATCTGCATCAATGTTAGCGACAAGGGCTAAATCATCTTCAACATCACTAGCACTTACATATCCATCGTCGGTAGCAATGAAAGCTTGACGACGAGGGCAATCCTTCATGACATGTCCCATGCCTTTGCATCGGTGGCAAATGATTTTAGAGCTGGACGAGGAGGAGCTAGTAGAAGCACCGGAGTGGCACCTTTCTTCATTTGTGGAAACGCACATTAGACAATTTACTTACGAGGAAGAAAATGGAGGTGTAGATGGATGTGGTGCAACAGGGAAGCTTGGTCGTCTCCGGCTCGAACGCTGCTGAAAATTCCTCCCATTGTGAGACCAGAAAATTTGGTGTTGTTTGCGCCCCTGTGCTTCTTCTCGCTCGCCTTAATAGCAAGATGATACAATTGGGAAAAATTGCGCCATTCTTTGTAATCAAGTATGTTCTGTATATCATGGTTTAAACCACCAAAAAATCTAGCACTAGCATCAGCATCATCTTCATTTATACCACAACGTGCTAAACCAATAAGCAATTCTTGATAGTATGCTTCTACTCCTTTATCACCTTGTTTTAAAGTTTGTAGTTTCAAACGTAAATCACGTTGGTAATAAGGAGGAACAAAACGAGATTTCATACGTTGCTTTAAAACATTCCAAGTTTGAGGCACAAAGCAAAGACATTATTAGCATTGCAAAGATCACTCCACAGAACAAAGCAAAATTAGTAAACTCACTAGTAGCAAGTCTAACTCTATGCTCGGGAGGAACATTATGAGAATCAAATTTTTGTTGAACAAAGCAAGCTCCCAATCTAAATATGCCTCTGGATCAACATTACCAAAGAAAAGGAGGTAGACTAAATTTAATTTTAGCAAAAGGATCATTATTACCATGATTATTACCTCCCATGCCATGACGATTGAAGTTGAGGCGGCGACGGGCACCACCGTCGACATCGCATCTTCATCACCAAAAGCATCCGCATCTTCATCATCAAGACGATAAAAGGGAGGGCGTTGCTCAAAAGCCATTCAATGCGGGTGACCAGATTGTTCACGTTGCGTCACTCGGTCATAAGATTGCGTTGTTCGGTCATGAACGTTGCAAGCTCGCCCTTGACACGCACTCATTGAAGTCCGTCGGAGTTCCCGCCATGGTTAGAAGATAGAAAAGACAACACCAAAGTATTATCCCTATCAACTAAAAGGAAACAAGTGGTGGTGGTGGTGAAAGTGGAATGCAAAATCACAAGCGGCTTACCACCGTCTTTTTGTATTCTTACCAACGCGTAAACAGGAGCAAAACCAAAGTGGTGAAGCAAACATTTGTGGAGCGTGGTAATGATTTGCAAGATGAACTGTCTTGTGAGAAGAATATGTGGAGCTATGGGTAGGCACACAATATGATGACAAGGATTAGCAATTAACGAAGTCTGAGTAGCGATTGTTCAATCTGGATCCAAAGTACAAGTCACAGGTTTGGCTAAGACATGTCGAGACGTAAGCGCAACAAGGTGAAAACAAAGGACGATCGAAAGAACTCACAGAACAAGCAAATAGCCCGGATTTTCTTTTTTCCCGGATTTTTCCAAAAGGCACTAGTAGGAAACAAACTTTTTTATTTTTTCACTAATTTTTTATACTTTTCTCTGAACAAGGATCACAAAAGATGCAACCACAAAAATTGGCACCTACAACTGAGGTGGGATGTGGTCTCTGAGAATTCAAAGACGTGCTCTCAAAAGCGTGCAAAAACTTTGACAATTTTTTTCTTTATTTTCCTGAATTTTTTGGCAATTTTGACGAAACCAAACAGGGCGAAGCCTAGTTTGGGTCGGGTCCAAATGGTGTCAAGAAGCTGCTGAAAAATTTCAGATTTTTCGATAAACAAGCTAAAAGTTATGCCTGTTTTTTTACCAAGGTATCTCAACGTATGTTTTTCGGGAGGCACAACACGGCGGCGACAGTTAGGGCAAAGCGTCCTAAACTCTAACACCGATCACAGCAGTAGGTATTCGCTGATGATGTAAGGAGGGCTGCGATGCGAGCAAAATAAGAGCGCTGGCAACCTATCTAGGGCTTCTTGCTGGCGGCGAGAAGTTACACAAGGCGGCTAGCGGGGCAAGTCGAGTAATGTGGTGGCTTCGACTTGTTGTTTGGGAGCGGTGGATGGGATAGCGGCGGAAAACAAAAATCACAGCAACGGGCGATTGAACTACGACCACGAACACAATCCTAAACCAGCAACAAGACTCGACCACGGACACAAACTCAACAACACGAATCTGA